CTCTTTCTTTATAGTATGGGTATTCATATTCAATATGATTTTAGCGACCTATTTATATGTGTGTGTTTGCCACAAATTACATCCACTTTTTTGAAGTAGAAAGAGTATGAATAAATAAAAATAAAAAAGGATTTCCTTCTCTCTCCTTTTTAGTTAATCCCAGAGACAGTCCATCCTTCATGGTTCTGAAGACATTTTTGACTCTTCAAGTACAGACTGATTCCCTCTCCCACCTCCTAAGAACACATTTGGATGATAGTGGGTTATTATCATCTTATAAAATTTAATAATTGATTATATATTACTCTCAAATATAAGGTCACATTTAGAGTTGTTTCTTTGCTTTAGGATTTAGAGCCAAACAAATAAAAACAATGCAAAAAAAAGAAAAATAGTGACAAAACACTGTGCCACTTGAGAAATGAATATGCTTTTCTTTTTAAATCATAACTACCTAGAGTTTACCAAATCTCCTTTCTGCTAGACTGCTCAGATTCAAATAAGAATTTTGATCACTGCATTCATATTGACCCATCTGATATTGTATGCTTCCTTTCTTTCTTTGTTGTTCTGATTTTTTTTATATATCAAGTGACCATGTACATACAAATCAATTAATAAATATATATTATTATGAACTACAATATCAATTATTATTCTCTATTGACTGCTTGTTTTCCCCCTCAATTAGATTGAAAACTCTTTAAAGATAAGGACTGTATTGTTCTTACTTTTTATCCTGCATAGAAGATGTACAGTTCTGCAAACAAGTGTTATATATTTGATGACTGACCACACCAAAGTTATATTTATTTCTGTCATTTGTCTGATAATACTTGAAGCATTATTATTGCATAGACATTATAGTTTATAAGAATTAACAGGTCTCACAACCATTTCTAATAGAATAAATATAAATTTAGTTGTTCATTAAAATTGATACACAGTAACGTTAATGAAAGCTTGTTTTAAATGGTTTAGCCTCACATGGCATTATGAAGTTAGCTAAATGTAATTCTTCAAATGTAACTAGTAAATAAACTAGCACTCTATTATTTTTTCCATAGATGGGTAGTAGAGACATAAGATTACTAAGTAAAATATTTAATTAGACGCTTTACTAAAAATTTGCCAAACATCCAGAGATATCAGTAGTTCTGAAATCTTTGAGAATTTTTTTCTAATATAAATCACATGTGATTGAATTATGAATACATAATTGTCTCTAAAATATCCATAGCAAAATAAAAGTATCTTATTAAATTTCCATCAGATAAAAATCTTATGTTTGCCTAAGGTAGATCTCCACAAAGATAATTTTTAAAAATTTTTCTCTAAAAAACAACATAATTTTATTCTAAATTTAGAGAGGGGGCTGAAACACATTTTTAACACTAAATTAGTTAATGTACTTTTTCATTTTTAATATTTGAAAATATATGTGGATAGCTTCTATTTTCAAATACATTTGCTGTATAATACCTCATCTTAATAGTGAAGAATTTATTTCATATTCTCTTTCAATGCTTGTCCATAAGTACATGTTTACCCTATTTACAGTAAAAATATTTAATACTATTTTCCTCTCTTAAGACCACCTAATCAAAGCATTTCTCACTGTTTCCAACACGATAATTTTTATTTTTATTTTAACTATATACCAGAATATTAAAAAAATAACTCTATTAATAATTATCTTAAATACATTTTAAAGGACATTTATATAACATGTATTAGATAACCAAGGACAAAGAGTTAAAACTGGCTGAGGACAAAGAATGTATATAACCAAAAGTGAAAGAAAGTCTAAATGTTTACTAAAAGAAGTGTGAGACTGAATGAGATATGATTATGGAGAGCTCTAAGATGAAACTGGGGAAGAGAGGTTAGCAGGCAGAATCCACTATCCCCTAGTCTTTTTTTTTTTTTCCAAACTTATTGCAGTTTTTCTTACCACCAGTAGTATTTTCAATGCAATGATATTGATAGTCTGTGTTACCACTTCAAAGGAAACCACAAAAGGGTCTTGGTTGAGAAACTAACTCCAACCTGTTGCTAGCTTCTTCAAAACAATGCTATCATAGGAGGTATTTTTTTCTTCTATGCTAATTCTTCTTTGTAATGAACAAAACATGTTTTTAACATTAAATACTTTAAACTGGAAATTTGGCTGCTAGATAGCTGTATGAAATTTTTTACTGAAACATTATCACCTTTTTAGTTATTGCTAAAACAAATAAACTTGTAATATTTTTCCTCTGGGATGGCAAATTCAAATCAAAATGAATTATATTATCTGTTTCAGACATCCTGACATTTCCTGGGAATCAGCTGACAGTAAGTCTCATAATTAGCCAATTTGTACATTGGACCCCAAAATTCATTTCCTTAACACCAAAACATCCAAATTAAAACACAGCTCAGGATTTCCTCTGACATGGGATCAAACCTTATTTTCTACGTAATGTCCAAAACTCTTCCAAGTGCCAACTAAACAGCAATACTTTTGGATCCTACACCCAAGAAACCTTGGCTTACCTTGTTACTGTTAGACAAAGGATTAACAACAACAACTAAAACCCTACAGTCTTTATTGTTGCAGTTCTCCTGGCAGATCAGCTGTTGAGCTGGTTGTGGTATACCACACAGGCAAAGTGTGCTGAAACAAATGTTATGATAACTTATTCTTCATGAATTAATTCATTTAAATACATTTTCACAAGGCCCAACACATATTTTAGAAGTGACCAGAATACATACGTTCTAGAACTAATGTCCCAAAACTCACCTAAGAATGTTTCACTAACAAAGTTTTGTACTTTATCATGTTGAGAGGAGGTCTATAAAGGACAGCTGATTCTTAGTGGTGATTATTAGTTTACAACATCTTTAAGATGTTGTAAGGAGCCAACTAAAGGTTAAATCCTAAACTGCAGTAGAGCCAGAACAAATATTTACCACTGGAAAAATCATCCATCATCAACACCAACACTGCCTGCCATTATACAGACCAAGTTCTTCATTTTTTAACTGGTTAATCTTTTGTCCTGAAATCCAATTATTCAGAGTATGGCATTTAAAGATAGGATATGAACATGAATATAGGATTCAAATTGGATCAAAGTCAGGTCCTCATCAGTTCTAAATACATTTTTTAAAATGGGCAAAGCTTATACCAACATAACACAGTTTATTTTATGGGATCTTACTGTGTGTGAGTACAACCAGTAACAGAGTGAGGCAACATAAGGGGTGGCCAAAAGACTTTTTAAAAATAAAATCAGTGTATATGACTTTGTGGATGTTTAAGTCCTTAAAAATACTGTTACCACAATTTGGCATCTAATTTGAAATTTTCAATTGGAAAACTAGTCACTGCATCAGGATTTTCAATTTAAGAAATTCACAAAAATATGAGAATAATAATCGCTAAAAACAACTAAGCTATAAACAATGCCATGATTAAAGTTAAATGCATTAAAGATAGTGCAGATCCTCACATTCAAATCTTGCCTAAGAAACAGATGACAACACTATGATATTTAAGATTAATTTAAGAAGATTATTATTAACATCTCTTTATATATATTCTAATATAGAGAGTTTTCATTGGTGGGAAGTCATTCATCCCTATGCAGTGAAATTATAAGAATAACTGAAGCAATGCCTGATTAGACATGATGGGGAAACTAATGTGTACTTGAACAATGGTACAGAAATATTTTATATCTACATTGACAGAGTGTATCTATTATATCTTCCACCATACTCCAAATTCAAAATAGAAAACTAGAAAAAGATCAAGGTCTCACTTTGCTTTGCTAACATATCTCCTTCCCCAAGACACACAAACGTGATTGACAAAAATCATTCCTTTTGATATTTTGAGATTGGCATAAACACAGATTATGATTACATAGAAGGGATTAGAATAATAATAACTAACACTGAAGAGAAAAATAAACTGATTCTCAATGGCTAAAATAAATTATATTAACAATTATTATAAAGGAGAATATAATTCAAATATTTTTTTCAAAATATTTCAGAGTAAAGAATGAGTGAGGTATCTTTTTGTGCCCAAATAACACAAATGATAACTTTTAAGTGCATAATAAGGGACAAGACTTTGATCGATTAAAAAAAAAAAAAAAACTTTTGTAATGAATTGTACTCTTAGCAAATACCTTTAACTAAAATACCACAGATAAAGGTGTCTTATGAAATGATATAGTTATTTTACTCACCAAATTGTGACAATACTATAAAAAATAAACTTATACAAGTAGAATAGCAAGTTTATGCCTATTTCAGAGTACTTAAAAATTTATTTTAAATAATATTGTTCTATAGTTTTCTTCAAAACGAAAGATCACTAGTTTGATTTTGTTTTACATGTATATACATTACTGAGTTGAACTCTTTGACACTTTATGAAATCAATGCATGTTTTGCAAATCAAATAATTCAATCAAAATACATTTAAACAAAATATTTCTAATTATATTTGATAAATTTAAGAAACAAACAAACAAACCTACACAGAAATGGCAATCATTCCCCAAATCCAGTCCATACACATATTCTTGAAGAGAATAAAAACTTATTTCTACATTCATGGCAAACCTCAGGCAATTTTATAGCACTGTAAAAAAGAAAAGTAGAAGAGAGAAAAATCTGCCCAGGGACGAATTCTTCTTAAGAAAGGCCCTGCCATTGTTGCCTTTCACATTTCTATAAAGCCAAGCTAAGAAGAGCACTCCATAACAATGTGGATAATTTCATTACCTTTTATATTAAATATTAAAACCAACCGTAGCTGTCTTTTGTCAAGTAATTTATGAATATTTATAGAATTTATTGAAAATATCAAAAATTTTGCTTCGAAATCAGCAAGCATAGAACAATGAGTGAAACAAAGCAAAGCAAAACAAAACAATTCAAAACAAAACTATCACATATTTCATGGATTAATGGGGGGGAAAAACGAAATTTCTTACCGAGTACCCCAAGTCGATAGTTGACTGTGATGACGATCACATTGCCATAACTTGCCAAGACACTCCCATCATATAAATTTCCAGTCCCTTCCATATATGAGCCACCATGGATATACACCATCACTGGTTTGGGACCCCCACTGTCCCGAATATCTGAAAAACAAATGGTTGGCAATTGTTCTTATCCTCAACACACATAATGAAGCAGAGAATACATTTTCCATTTTAGGGACAAGAGGGAATGATTTTAACATAGTTCTTTAAATTACTGTCTTTGTTAAAGTGTTTCTTAAGCAACTTATATTAAGATCTATTGCAGAAAAGAGCAATAGATATCCATTGTTTTCTACCTAAAATTTTGTTAAATATTATAAGCTGAATTACAAAACTTGGACAAATTGGAAGTAGGTGTGAATTTGAGTGCTTTTTTTTTTTCAGTTGATTCCTGATGTGACAGTAGAATCAAAAGAAATAATAGAATGATAATGATTCTTAAAACTTCGTGTTACAAATGTCATAAACTTCATATGGAATTTATGAACCATAAACTAAGTACAATGGTATCACTGCTACTATGAATAAAACACTGTTTTTCCATTTCTTAATTACTGTAAAGATATGTACTGAATGCATCATAATTACATGGAATAACTTATGCTCCAATTTGAGAACATAATTACCACACTATGCTATAGAAGTTGCAAGAAGTTTCATTTAACTATTCAAGTACTGTCAGATGAATGTTTAGGCAATAGAGTCCAAATATCTATATTTCTGTCTTTGTTGCATTTAGGGGACTTTCATTTAAATGATATTTTTCAGTTCAGTCCAGGTCATCTGCTCATTCCAATTACCCTTACCCTTCGGAAGAAGAAAACAGACTAACTTATTTTTTACCCTCTTTTTGTAACTATTCTACTCTTCTTAGCCCCACTTTGGCTCTAAGATTTTGTCATACAGACATGAGACAGAATACAACTAAATCCAAGCGTAAAATGCTAAAGTTTAGGGTGATGTTAAAGTGATTTCTACAGCTCTAAATTTTAATCACATGTATGTGCTTTTCTAATATATTTTACACCAATTATGCAGTTTCAATAAGGGTCTAGAAATAATACATAAGGGAAACATAGGATAATTATAATTGGTATTAAAAGATACTAATTTCTAGAGATAAAAATGCTAAACAGTATATTGGTGAACATGGTTTTAACTATTATGTAGATTGAATATTATATGTGTACATATATCTATATGATTATGAATATAAACATACCTAAAACATTACCATTAAATAATGGTCGATGATCTCTTCTGCCCACAATTGAAACAAACTTACATCATGTATTATCTTTCTTTTATGACAATATTAAAAGTGTCATTTAGAAGTACGGCTTTGTTCCTTTGCTTTTGAAATTTTTTATCAGACAAATCTCCTACATCATAACAATTGAGGTTTCAACTTTCAGAATGGACTAACATGATATAAACTCACTGAAAAAACTGGTGATAATTTAGAGGCTGCTTTACATTTCTTGTAAAAAAGATGACTAGTGTCAATGCTTCAATTTTTCTACTATAATAATAAAGTGATTTCTTTCAATGAAACTCATTTTAAGATCAGGAATTGTAGCTCAACTTGTTTGTCCAGATTTTCAAGTTGGGGAAATATCTAATTGCAGAATTTAGGACTTTTACAAAAGACTACATTATGTTTGACTTAATATTTAATATCAGTGTATACATTTATCAAAATCTCCCCCTCTCCCTGTGAGGGTGTACTTGAGAAGACTGTCTTATTTTTTTAACTGGTGAGATGAGGATACTTTGACATTCACCAGACTCAGCTACATTTAGTGAAAAAAGAACTAAATTTATTTTCTCCTTAAATCGTTAGGAGGGAAAAATGATATTCACTCATTTGTAAGATCTGGGGGCTTGTGGAGATGTTAGGCTTTACAGAGAGAAAACAATTCTTCTGAAATTGTCAAACTCTCCTTCTTAAATGCCTGTTCGCTGCACACAGTTTTAGCGTGTTTTTCTAGTATGGCTGGCACTGAAAAAGCAATAATAAATTATTAAACTGAAGCCATTAACTGACTGTTCACAGCAGACTCTGTGCTCTTCTAATTGTATGCTTGGAGGCAGCACAGAGGGAGGCTGTTTCAGAATTCTTCTTTAATTAAAATTACATAGAATTACAAAGCACCAACTGTGAACAGTAATGAAATCTTGGTAGAATTGTTCTGTTCACCTGGAAAATAATGCAGGCACACATTGGGAAGACCTGCCATATTTTATACCTAATAACAGAACGAAGTGGACTTTGTCAGGAAACACTGAAAATATGATAATAGATGCTAGGAGCAATTATGAGTGGTATATCTCTATTGTTCTTTGAAAATTAGACTTGAAAAGATTACTGATTGTTTGGGCTGATTCTAATTTCCAATTTGTCTTCCCAAACTTCTCAATGATTTCAACTTTGCCTAAGAACTTAGGGTGTTCAGCAGTTCTTTTCCAGAACGTTTTATAAAATTCTAATGCTGTGCTCTGAACAGTATTTCTTTTTGCTTGAAGTAACCCTGAAGTTAATGCTATATGGTGTATTAATTGCCAAAATAGGTACAATTTTTGTACATAACAACTCAATATTGCTAATAAAGCTTGGAAAATGCCATCTTTATATTACAGAGCAATTAGAATTATTTGATAATGTTTTATCAGTGTGGTCAACCTTAGACTTTACTTTTGGTAGTGTTTTATCATAAGTTCTATCTTAGACTTTACTTTTCTTCATAGTCTACAGGTCATTTTTGATGTAAATATAATAGTAAATTGTTTAAATATGATAAATACAGTAACATAATACTATAATAATAAATGTAAATAGTTTAAATTATATCTCTATTTACTTTGATTTTAAAAAGAACCAGACCTCTATAAGTGAAATTGATATATCAGATAGCCTACCATTGAATGCTATCTGCTAATGCCATCATTTTAATAATAAAATTTGGGGTGGCCACTATGTCTTAGTTCAAATATATTAGATGTAGTAGCTTATAATGAATTTATTAGAGCCATGTTGTCCCTCTAAACCTTGTCTCATATTTTCCCTTAGAAATAAAGTAGATTTTACCTAAGATATCTGACTTTGCCTAAACTAGCTGCTACTGACCATACTAAAATCAAAAGAATACCCAAAGACTAAAACACTAGTTCAGGTTTAGTAAAACTACAAATATTCCTACTGCATGTCTATATTTTCTGTTATTTGCAATGTTTTAAAGCTTTGCTAAGCATCTAGGTCTCTGAAAAAAGTGGGAAGATAAAAGAGAAATACTACACTGATAATTATTTTTCTTCTAAAATTTTTATGGTAAGAAAGTATTTAAGATTTTCAAGTTAAAAAATAATAAACTGGAATCTGAGTAGACATCTTGATTTTTAATTTTAGTAACTATTTTATCTTTTTGATAAACCAAAAATTTAAGCCAATGTAGCAAGTGCCAACAGCTCTAGAGCAGTTAATGTGGATTTATTTTTGCCTGACAACCAATGCTTGAAGTCATAATTCCCTTTAATAGTCCTAGTGAATTCATGTGCCCCAATGTTCATTGCAGCACTGTTTACAGTGGCCAGGTCACAGGGGCAACCTAGATGCCCGTCAACAGACGAATGGATGGGGGGAATGCGGTACATATATACAATGGAATATTACTCGGCCATGGAAAGGAATGAGATTGGGTCATTTGTAGAGACGTGGTGGATCTGGAGACTGTCATGCAGGGTAGGGTGGGTCAGAGAGAGAAAAACGAATATTGTGTATTGACGCATATATGTGGAACCTAGAAAAATGGTACAGATGAACCGGTTTTCAGGGCAGAAATGGAGACACAGATGTAGAGAACAAACGTATGGACACCAAGTGGGGGAAGTGGTGGGGCGGGGTTGGTGGTGGTGGGATGAATTGGGAGATTGGGATTGAAATGTATACACTACTATGTGTAAAATGGATAACTAACAAGAACCTGCTGTATAAAAAAATAAAATAAAATTCAAAAATAATAGTCCTAGTGAATAATTATTAGTCACGTAACTCCTTAAACATGTTTACTGGTTTCTCTTTCCTTAAAGGACTCATGAAGTCTTTAATTGCTCATAATTTTGAGTTTTGGAGCATTTAACAGTTTTTAAATTGTGGGGTATTGCCTCAGTTAAATCTTTCCCTGATACATTTAAAGATATTTCAAGATTTTTTTTGCCCCCTACTCATTTGATGAACCTCAGCTATTATTCAGGACCAGCAAAAGAATATAGAAGTGTTGGATGAATCTTCATTTGTTAAACTGGACTTATGATCAAAAGTAAAATTTTTAGTTAAAAAATATACAAAAATTTACAAGAGCAACTTTTAAAAAGTTCTATATAGGATAGAAAATTGCATTTGAATACTGAAAAATTAAGGTATTCCCAGCACAGTTTAAAAAATTAAATATCTCTTAAATTCCCAAAATAAATTGGTAGAAATCTAGGATTTTGCTTTGACCCATTTTTAATCACTTCAGATTAGTCTTTCTGAAACTATGGAAAAAGCCAATAAAACATGCAGCTCTTATGATTATTATTAAAATTTGATACAGTTGTATTTGGCCTAAAAGTGGCAAAAAATAATGGCAAAAACACAAATGAGAATTAGAAGTAAAGAACAGTGCTCCACTGAGAAGCTTTGGATGAGTTTAAGTGAATGAGGGGCATGTCCCAGTCAATGTCTCAGGTAGCCTCTGAATACAGTGTTGAGACAGAAAGCTAGAAATCAAGTAAAAGAGTTGGGCTATCAGGAAATAATGGACAATCCCATATAAATGACCAGATAACTAGACTTCTGACTGAAGTAAAAGGAGTAGTTTATCAAGTAGTTTAAATTTGTTGCTTTATCTAATAATGCTGATTCAAGATTTGAAACAAATTAAATGTGAAAATGGGCCTCGGTTTTCATTCACCCTCACATCAACAGAAAAATTTTCCAACAAATTCAACAGAAGATGCTCAGACTTTTCTACGAAGGTTTTTATCTGGAGGGTATTTGAATTTATCCTTCTTGTCTTCTAAACAATTACCCAAATAACACAGAGGAATAGACAGAACTT